ATTAACCGACAGTAATGTGAAACCGTTAAGGAAGAGACAATTTCATACCATTATTTTTAGTAAATATAAGGATTGACTGCTTTTAAGCATAAATACAAGTTTGAGTAACTAACGACAGGGCTGCATGCAATACGGTTTAATAACGTCGCATTTATCAAGCAATCGCATGCGTTATACAAGAGCATCTCATGTAATGTCAACGCTTTGCTGTTAAAGGCAATGGCTAAACTACTAATTTCAAGAGTGGTTAAGAGAGTTGTGCTCTACATTTCGCAAAAAAACTTGAAAATGTTTGTGACTGTGAATCTTGGTAAAAAAGTGAAAGTTGAAGACACGATAAATTGGCCAGTTATCGTGTCTTCGCCTTTCGCCTTTTGTGGCGACACGACAAATAAAGGGCGCTGATACCGGCCGACATAATAATACTGCAGAAGAAGATCTCGTGTCTTCTCCAATTTAAATATCGTTATCTCGCCTAAAATGTATCGTGTTTTCGTGTCGGCGCCGTCAAAAGTCGAAGACACGATACGTTAACATGTGTCTTCGCCTTTGACTTTTAAGGGGCCAATACACGAAGACACGAAATGGCAGAAATCAGCCACCTTACATTTCCATTTAAAAGTGCTTTACCGGACAAGTTGAAATCAAAATGTAAAGATAGAAATCCTGTTTTTGAACGTGTGTCTAAAAACAGTTTGTATAAATTATGCTATCAATTATCATTATATGCGCATTTTGCTAAATATTGTATTGAATCTATGAATGGAAGAATTTCAATGATCTTCTTTACAAAAATCAACACACATTGTATGGAATAATATACTTTATATGTATTTATTCTAAAGCTGTGCAAACAAATGCAAATTGTATCATGTTACGTATATGTAAATATGTCTTATATTGTGATTTTATACCCAAAGTGATTGATTTCACTTATGCAGATAATAGTATTGTAATTTTGTTCTGGGACTATTGTAATTATGTTCTACATGTACATGTTCTAGGACATCCGAATCCCTCTATTATATACTTTGTGAATGTATATACTTGTTAGAATGTAAATTTGTTTGTTTGTTTGTTTTGATTGGGTTTAAAGTCACACCGACACATTATAGGTCATTTGGCGACGTTCCAGCTTTACTGGTGGGAGAAGACCTCAGGTGCCCCTCTGTGCATTATTTCAGGCACGAAAGGGCACCTGAGTAGAACCACCGACGTTCCGTAAGCTAGCTGGATAGTAGTATGTAAATGAAGTTTTCTTTAAGTGACTTGTTGGACCAACGCGACCGAATATTGTAAATTACAACTATATGTATGTACATAACACAATAATACATGTATTATAATAAAATTTACTTATTAATTTAATAAATCTTTATCTTAATCTCTTATCTTTATAGTTATCTTATCTTTATCTTATATATTATCTTATTTTACCTTACTTTTCCTCATCTTATCTTATCTTATCATGTACTATTTCATTTTTTTCATATATTATAATTGTATTTCTCATATTAAAGACGTTTTCCAGAGTTTTCATATAGACAGATAGGCAAAATTAAAACTGTTCAATAGAATTTCTTTAAATTTGGCATGTTATTAGAATATGATATTTAAAACATTTTAAACGAAAAAAAAAATCCAGAAAACGTCCTTAATATATAATATTTACAATATGCATATGTTTTATTATTTTTATTTCTTTGCGTCATAAAATATAAATAAACAAATCCAGTAGAGCATGTTTAAGCTGAGATAAGCTTCTTTACTCTTTATACATAATCCAAGCACAAATTCTACGACTCGGCAGAATGATTTTGAAATCAATAATGTAAGTTAACCTTAGTGCTGTACACATGTTAAACTAATCAGTCTTTTACCCGAATCATTACTAATTACGAGGAAATGTTAATTGCTTTTCTAAACAATATATTTATCTCTAACGTCTGGCACTAATCATCATATAGGGCACGACCTTTATACTTACCGTAAAATGATGAATATCGTAAAAAATGCAACTATAGTACGATCATACATTGGTAGGTTGATAAAATTATTTTAGTTAAATGACATCGTTTTGAGGATGCAGGTGAAGTAGGTGTGTGCGCACGTGTGTGTGCGCGCGTGTGTGTGTGTGTGGGGGGGGGGTAGGGAGACGGGGGTGTTGGTTTTTAGGGTATGCAGTTGTATGGAGAACAAATTCAGAGCATGCATTATAATGCATACAGAAACGAATCTAATAATAATACGATAAATAGAAAAATAGTCTCCCCTGTGTTTACTTGTAAATGTGCCTTCGTATTTTAAAATTACATGTATATAAAATAAAAAATAAGGAAAAACATGAAAAAATAAAAAATAGCTAGTTCAAGCAAAGCAGACAAAGCGATTCAATCTACCGACAATATACATGTACTATAATGTTATTACTAGTACAAGGTTCGTGAATGCTTGATATACAAAATTCGGTCTGCATATAAGTAAATCGTTTCAAGAAGTAATAGGGAAAAAAAAAACGACTACAACTTTTCCCATGTAATACACAGCAAAGAGCGTTCATCGAATATCACTAATAACACATTAGCAAAATGCATTGGTCAATAATTATTCAATTAGCAAAGCAAATTAGAACCACCGTAAAAGTTATTTCTTAATAACCAATATAATAACAACAATTCTAAACAATTAGTGTTTTAGTAATTGAGGGTTTTACATAAGCTAGCCAGTCTTTAGTTCGAGATTAAAGCTTGAATAGTGGTATGCATTTAGTTATCTTTCAAGATTCTTGAGATTGAAATCTGTAATCTGCATCGTTACAATAAATTTTAAAGCAAAAACCTCCACTTCATTTAACGACAAACAGTTCTATAAGTGTCGTGCACGTGACCCATATAACCATTAGAGTGCACGTTGCTTAAGTTATCTTGTCACTTAAGTACTAGTATGCTGATAATGATCCAAATCCCATAGCGTTTTTACATTCATTGATTTGTTTCGCTTGAAACGTGGAACTAATTGTGCATTATAAATGTAATGGATTCTCTACTCTTAAAATGGATCAGTTTTCAATGCACGGTGGCAAAGCGGCGACGTTTGCAGTATTGTTTTATCTTGTGGCCACAATTTATCGTATTAAGGCATCAAAATACTATCTTGTGGTCACAACTTATCTTGAGGCTTCAAGACATTATCATGTGACCACAACTTATTATCTTGTGGCCACAACATACTATCTTGAAGCCTTAAGATATTATATTGTGGCCACAAATTACTATCTTGAGGCATCAAATATTATCTTGTGACCACAATTTATTATCTTTAGTCTTCAATATATTATCTTGTGGCCACGACTTCTTGAGGCGTCAAAATATTTACTTCTGGTAACAACTTATTATCTTGTGGCCAAAACTTCTTGAGGCGTCAAAATATTATCTTTTGGTAACAACTTATTATCTTGATGCCTCAAAATATTATCTTGTCGTCACATCTTATCATCTTGAGGCCACGACGTATTATCTTGAGGCCTCATTATATTTTATTTGCTATTTTATATCTAGTATCTACTATGTATAAATATGTAATATTGGATCTTGCTTACGACATTCATATACAAATGTATCATTCTTTGGTGGCCTGTTGGCTTGTATGATACTAAATCGGCACAATCATTCATGACATTGCATTCCTTCAATAATGGACCATTTCCCTTTATATGAAACTGCCATTATCATTTACACTGACATTATCATAGCCCTTTTCACACTTGGAATAGGTACAACACAAAGTATTAGAAGGTAAATTAAATATTATGTCCTCTTTATTTCATTTTAAGGACAAAAACTTTGTTAGAGCAAGTACAATAAGGAATTATATGATGTTTATTCCTGAAAATGAAAATGAGGCTAGATGGAGTAAGATATGCATTTGATACGGATTTTTTAGACTCTGAAAATATGGAAACGAGGCTTAATCGATAAAATAGGACCCAATAACGATTTATATTTGAAAATCAAACATCACGTGGTTGAAATGCTGACTGTTTATTGGTTATACTTTATAAGGTGCGAAATAAATGCAATAAATGTTAAATCCAATTTTAAATTAAGATTTATGTTTCAAATATTAAGGTTCCTTACATTACAATTAGTGTCTTTATTTAAGTCTTATTTGGTTCGTCCTATATAGTTTCTAAAGATGCGTGCTCGTCCAGATATATTCCGGCTTTGTATAGCTTAAAGGAACTCCACTGACATAATTGGATAATAATATCCAAAAGCGTCCACATATGGATATATATTTATTGGTCTCGAGGTAAAAATTGAAATAGAATAAGAAGTTTTATAACTAACAATAGACACTTTTATTAGTTGTAAATCAGATATAACATAGTGAATCATTAGGCTCTCAAACAAAAAGATGTATTTTCTTGTCATAATAAATGAAAACACTACGATTTTTCATAATTATGCAAATCAAAGTACTGAAAGTACTGATAGATGGCAATTTTCAAATTTTCAAAGCCCATTTACTTTTTCTTTCATCTCTGTAGTTTTCACTCGAAGATCATTTCCTAGGAACATAAGTCCGAGTAGGGTCAAAAAGGTTCTCAATTTAACGTGGTCATCCCGATTCTCACATAATTTTTAATTATTATGTAACGTTTAATGTAGGAGATTAAGATGTTGCGGAAATAATGTATTCTAATTTAATAGAAGGCTTTTAAGCGTGTGAAATGTAACAAGTTAGTAGTGTCTTGATGTGAAATGCGTACTTTTTAAAGTATTACTTTGAACCAGATATGTTAGTATGTATGTGATTAAATTGATTTATTAAATTCCAAATTAGATGTTACATGTATTCAACTCGTTCTATACAATGTTCTAAAGCTCGATTTATATCAGTTTCTAGAACTCGTGTACTTATACATTGTACACAAATTATACATACAGTCTGCTTGATGAAAGCTCCAAAATTCAGTTGAAATATTTGTTAATTGAATGGTTTCAATTGTCAATAAGTCTGCAGATGATTTTAATATGTATTGTAAACGTAAACAGTACACACATCATATTTTCAGTGACATACATTTTAACAATGAAAATCGTATAACATCACATTATATCATCACAATGACCATTAATTATAAGCAATATTGATACATTTGGCCCGCATTTGTGAAAACATTGACATAAGCATTTTAGCTTACATTATGCAACCTTGACGTGAATATACAGATTCAATGTTATTGTAATGCAAATCTTCCAAGAAAAAAAGTATCAATACAAATGAGGCACAGCCAAAAAACAATATCTAATTCACTATTAAACGAACATTTTTGGAATGTGTCAAGGCGATGCTGCAGGACCCTTTCTTTTTTAAATACATTTCATTGTAGTTATGAGACACGTGTAACTATATATATATATACATGTATAATTTTCACTTTAGACCTCGATGTATGACCTTGATACGAGCTCATCGGGTCATTGTACATTTTTGATAGCATTTGCTTTCGTTATATACGGTAATGCCTTTATCGACTGACAGTCAAAAAGGCCATTAACTATAGGCTTTTGTCCAAGTGAATGTATGCACCGAAGTTCGAATAGCCGAATGGCATTCTTTGACCTTGCTTGATAAATCCAAGATATCCTTCATTCTAGTCATGCAATCATTTGATTTTTATAGATATTCAAATGATGATGTCATTCATTTTTTCTTGCACCTGCAGAATACTGATTTGAAAAATAGATTCACTTTCATACGGAACTGTCTGTTCAAGAAACAGTACACGATTGGATTAACAGCGCTGTTGAGAAGGTATGACCTAAGAGTCAAATTGTAGATTGTCAACTGCACAGGTGTGAGCGACTTTGTAAGATCTCTTTTGATATAGCGCATTGTCACAATAGCAAGGTAAGGAACAAATGAAAGCACAAATATAAGAGTGACTATAAATAGAATCATAGTGGTCCGTCCAGCTCTTATTTCCTTACCACCATGACGTCTGACGGAAATATCCGAATGAGTCCGATCACGAATGGCCAATGGCTCTGCGATATCCGGAACTGGGGAGTTTTTGCGCTCAGGTCTACGTCCGGTATGGAATAGTTTTGGCGAGTGTTCGGAAAAAGATCTCAAAAACCGCGTTGAAAACCGGCTTTTTGAATCGGCACTGACTGTTGTTCCGAATTTCACTTTTCGGAAACTTTCCTCTGAGAAGTGTTTACGACTGCAGACGACACGTCCCACGAGCGCGTACATCACAGTTAAACAAAGTATCATTAAAATAATTACAATAAACATATACAAGTTGAAAACAAGCGGTAACTGTGTTCCAACACTGTCATCGATATAACACGTTTTCAAGACAAACACAGTATCATTCAAAGGCGCCGGCTGGAGAATGGTTTTCGTTCCGTAAATGTATAACGAAGGCAAAGCACTGATAATCGAAATAATCGATAATGTTATGCAAATGATTTTCGAGTGTTTGACTGTCATATTTGGTCGTAGAGGCAGACATACTCTTCTGAACCTATCAACAGCTATTGCTATCAATACGCAAGATGACGTGTTATTCATGAAAAATGTAGTGAACCGCGAAATTTTACACAAAACCGGTAAATCGAAATTGTAGAAATTCCATATCAAAGATAACTCAACGGGCATGCCAAATGCACAATTAATAAAATCACACGCTGCCAGCGAAATGATGAAATGTCTGGATGTTGTTTTAGACATCTTTAGGAGGTAAACAATAATTACGATAAAATTGCCTGGCATTCCAACCATCATTAAGACGGCGGTGTATATGAAAGAAGGAAGTAGGATTAAAAATTGTTGATACTGTAGCTTTTCCATCAATGGGCCATCTGACATGTACGTTATATTTGAGCTGTTATAGCCAGAAGCGTCTATTTCGCCAAAGGAATGTTCCGAGATGGATTCAGCGGAATAGGAAGGCATTTTGTCCACGTGATAGGATGATGTGTTTGTGAGATTACCCAAATAATCGAACGATTGGAACACCTTGGTCTTGTAGTCGTAAACACTGTGGGTGACTATTCCATCTGAAAATATAAACAGAAAAAACAGTGAAAGAATAGTTAACAAACCAAAATGAATGTATAAACTGTTAGGTAATTTTGTTTATTTTGAACCCAAGAAACATAAAATAATGTAACGTTCTCGACAAAGAATGATAATATCATGATTTGTATAAATAAAGGAAATAGCCATATCATGCACGAGCTATGGGGGATGGGTGGGTGATGTCATGTCTATTAAGATTAGAAGATTAGATTAATCTAAGTTATATTAAGTGTTAAAAAGTACACAGTACTTTATACCCACGGACAGGGGTATTATTTATCTTTCTTTATGTTTTACTTCATTTTCTTTAAAGTTTTCATCAACTCCCCCACAGAGTAAATAATCTATAACTTATCTTTTAAACATTTGAATGAATGATGTCATATCGCACGCAATAGTTGTTGGGAAATTACAAAATGCAATAAGATAATATTAGAAATATGAAAATAACTGAAATAACTTATCTACGGTGTAAAGTAGGTGCGGAACCGGAAGTAACGTATGTACTGAAAAGTGTGTTTGGTTGAAACGCCGCTGAGTAAATTGGTGTAAGTTAGTGCATTATGAAATTATTAACATATTTATTTTAATATCATATAAAAATATATGAGAGTGAAAATCATTTATAAATATTGATATCGTTTTCATGACTTTCACACGTGCTGGATCTTAGTTATTGTAAATACATCTGACTTGGGAAACAATAAAATGTTGTATAACCTGGTTTTCCGTGGAGAGTTTTGCACGTTTAGTTTCCGGGTTTTATTCAGGGAAATAATTAGATATCGCACGTTAGAGTCATAAAAACATTCATCTCTCTAAGAGAACCGTTTTATAGACTTTGAAAGATTCTTACGTGTCTTCCATGTATTGTTTACACTAGGCGGTATTTTACGTAAACAATTCTACTTTATAATTTGCTTTTCTTGGCTACCGACTATGTTTGCCTATACTTTAATGCCTGACATATAGAAACAAAGTTTCGAGGATATAATCCTTGTCTTTCTAAATATAAGATTAACGGTTTTTGAACATATTTAATCTGCTTTAGTTTTGATATTGTAAAGGTATAGAAATATCAAACCAAAGCTTAAAAACATTCTCGTTTTAACTTTCTCCTACTGTAATTAATTGGTTGTATTGGATTTATATGACAAAAAGACAAAATGAATATGTATGTACATGTTTTAAATTTTGAAAAATATTTTCAGCTTTGAATTATTTTAGTATCGTATGAATGAAGAATACAGTAACGATTGGTTGAACTTTAATTGATTTAGACTCGTTGGCATTACCGTGAAAACCTTTGTATTTTTTTCTTTGTTTCATTTGTTTCTCTATTTGTTTCTCTGTTTTTGTGTTTGTTTCTTGGTTTTTCTTTCTTTATGTTGTTGTTATTTCTTATTGAATTATTTATTAATTAATTAATTATTTTTTCATTTATTTATTTATTTTTTCATTTATTTATTTATTTATTTATTTATTATTTGTTTATTTATTTATTTATTTATTTATTTTATTTATTTATTTATTTATTTATTTATTTATTTATTTATTTATTTATTTATTTATTTATTTATTTATTACTATTTTATTTATTATCTTATTTTTTTTTCTGTTTTGTTTTTAAATAAATTTATTTTAAAGATTATTTTATTGATTTATTTATTTTTTATTTAGTTTGTTTGTTAAAGTGAGTTAAAGTGACTTTAACAACACTGAGATCAAAAACCCTACAAACATAAAATTTCAATTTCTTACATAAATCAATCTTGGCAGTTAAATCAGGGAAATATGCAATAGATAATTCTTAAGAAATATACTCAGAGATGAATTGCAGATCGCATTTGTGTGTTATTCTTAGCCGGTTTTTAGTGAAAAACGTTGCAACGCTTTTCAAATTTGGGTCATTTTTAACATTTACCCTATTTGTTCTAGAAAAAAAAACCCGGAGTGAGCGAATGCTGTGAAATTTTGCACACAAGTTATTTGTATAGACCCGCATCAAATGGAAGATTTATCCAGATCCGCCGTGTCGAAAAACCGCAGTGAAATCCCTTTAACAAACATACTGCGCCCAGTTATAATCTGTTTCTGTTACAGAAAGACGGACGAATGCCAAATTAATGAATATGAAAATCCGGACGTAAATGTTCTTAGCTTTATACTTTCATATTCAAATTAAAATTATGCTCGAATAAATGGATTGGAGCCTCGTCACAGTTGAACAATATAAATAAGTTCACGAGCTATCTATGCTACTTGCCCAGTGTTAAACAACAAGTTCACTAGCTATCTATGCTACTTGCCGAGTGTGAAAGTGCAGATTAATTACTATCTATTCCTATGATCATTAACCCCGTTAACAACAGCATTCCCATAGGTCACTGGTTGATTTAACTTTCACTTACAAAGTAACATATTTCAAAGGTTAAATGTTTACTCTATGATAAAGGGAGATATTACGATAATTGCAATGTTGCAATGTTAGTGGTACGGGGACAAGGTTTATTTAGTTTAAATGACTTTAAAGTGAATTAAGCTACATGTATAATATATAAGGCCTGTAGTTTATAAATGTGTATTTGAATTTTGTACAAAAAATGGGAAACATAAAAAATAAATAAATAGATAAATAGATGAATGAAATAGATAAATAAAAGAAATAAAAGTATACTTGTTGTTTACAGAGTTATTGTTTGAATTATATTAAAAAACAACCCCCCACCAAAAAAACAAAAACATACGACCACCTCCCCCCCCCCCCAAAAAAAAATGAAAGCCCCCCCCCCCCCAAAAAAAAAAAAAAAAAAAAAAAACAAAACAACAGCAACAAAAAAAACAACAACAGAAAACAACAAACAAACAGAAATGAAAAACCTGTTTGAAAGAAATATATTTGTATAAATTTTGAATAACAAATGGTATGTACGAAATCATTACAAACCGGTTCAGAAACGAACTTTTTTTCCTCCGAAATAGACTAAATAAACTAAGAATACACATGGATTTTAATACATTTAAGTAAATGCTTTATAGCATAATAAATGTTTGACACGTGAAAACGAGTTGTGCTAAAGATGAAAATATTTTTTTGTCATAAAAGTAGCAAAATGTAAACAAATTTGTATTTTCAATTCTATACAAAACTACTTTAATTATAACTCTTTTAATTGCCAAAACATAATGGAAGCAAATAATGGCTAAGGTAATTTGTCAATGTGTAACTTTTTGTATAACTTTTTTGGAAACTATAACGTACAGGACATCAAAAATTTAAAGCTTTTGAGAAACGAAAGAACGCAAAAAAACCAATAAACAAACAAACACACAAACAAACAAACAAACAAACAAACAAACAAACAAACAAAAGAAAAACGCAACCATTTCTGAGACATGATGGGCCTTTAAAATAGCACAATGATTATATATATATATATTGTTCCGGAAATATTTTATTCTCTTAACAAACAATATTCATATGTGTTTAATAACAGGGGCATTTTATGTAACAACTCTTTTAAGAACCCATCATAATAGACATATTTCCCGTTTTAAATTTCCTAAAAAATATAACGCAAGATAAAGCTTTATACCCTGTAAACATGGAAACATGGCGATAAACATATGTTTTGTACAACATTTTATAAATATTACGCACAAATTCCGAACAAAAAAAACAACAACAAAAAAACAAAAACATTTGAATTTGTTTTACAATACATGTTAAAGCAAGAAAATGAATAAGATAATATGTTTATTGCAAAACCAAATGGTATGAACAACAAGTTTTTTTTTCAAATTTAGATTAGGCCATTCGTAGATTACGTGTCTGTTTTCCTGAATTCAGCTTCTTTCTTTATTAACATCTACATGTTTTACGTCGATTAAATGAAATGTTTCAAACATACGAATCGTATTTAATAGAGGTTTAATTGAAGAAAAATCTGTACCTATATGGCTAGTGCAATATTCAACGTAATACTTGTCCACATTTTGGTATACATTATATAAATGCTTAAATACTTAATTTAGACATGATATAATAGTGAATACAATGTTTGTGTATGTATTTTATACAGAAATAAAAATGTATGTTCTTATACATAGCTTAATATGACAATAAATAACACAAGTGTAAACATGTTTTCCAAATATGGACGAACTAAATGTATCTTTAGTCAAGGAAAAAAAATCTAATATCTCTCTTTGAAACATCATGACTGTAGTGGCCTTTAGTTGATTTTATTGTTAACTAAATTAAATACCAAACTTCATTTTCTGGTTTATTACCATCTTGTAATACACACCAACAGTGACAGCTTTTATAGATACAAACACAAATACAATACTATAGTAATAGTAATACAAATAGTAGGCCTATTATGAGGTTATTATAATTATTATAATGTTATGTTCAATACTGAATTCTACTGGACGAGTAACAGCTGTCAAATCTATATTGGACAAGGCGCAAGCCGGGTCTGATATAGGTTTTGCAACTGTGCACGAGTCCAATAAAATCGGGAATTGTTCTGAACAATGTACTTGTATAACGACCTCTTTATTTCACATTTTGTGACATTTAGACAGAATTTTGCTACCTGTAGCAGAATAAGGTATTGATATTTTTTTTTGAAAATGTGAATGAGGTTATATGGAGTGTGATGTGCATTTGATATAGATATTGTGGACTCTGGCTAAATGAAAACGAGACTATATTGGGTGGGATATGCATTTAATATGGGTGTTTTGAACTCTAGAAATAAACTCGAGGCTAAATTCAAAATGATAGGATTTTATCCAATAATGAAATTTGTCGGACAATCACATGATTTTAACGCTGAAAGCTCATTGCTTATATTTAACAAGGTGTGAAATATATCTGCAAATTTTAATAATATACCTTTGAACACATATTGTTTTTCATTGGTTTTTATGTAGAGAGGGCACATAATAACTTTTTGAAACAATTCTATTTCTGTCACAAAACATGGATGATAATCGTGACCAGCTGCTGCCGTCCTAGGTGAATGACAATGTTAGTAAATTCACCTACAGCTCTTAGAGTTAGACATATGTTATTATTTAAGTGAGGTCTGTTTTGACCCTAGAAGTCGGCCAGTATAGTTGTCATTGGCGGCCATGATATTTTACATTCAGTACATTGTTCATTATAAATGTTTATATGTATAAATTTGAAATGAAAATAAACAGACTTGATAAAATGATCATAATTTATACTTATTAATAAATTCAAAAAATATTCTTTTTCCCCATTCAATTGTAATTCATTTTTTTACATTCAGTACACGCTCATTATACATGTACATAAATGAAAATAAAATAAATACACTTTATTTTATGATGTTAATAATAAGTAATAATGTTTATAATTGGTTTTAAAAAATATTTTTTATTTATTTAATATTTTGTATGATTATTTCTGAATTTAGGACTATAAACATTATAGTTATTGTGTTTAGTTTTATGATCTGGCCACGTGTTAAATCATGTGTGACTTGATGTACATATACACTTACATGTTGTACACAAAAATAACATGACTCTTTGTTACGTGTACAGCCATAATAATGAAAGTAAAAAACCTTATAAAATGTTAAAGAATGACAAGTATATTAACCGTAACAATCAGGGAACTACAAAAGCATAATTGTATCTCAGAGAAAGTGTATCACAAATGTTAACCACTGATTAGAACTTTCTTATACTTCATCTGTAAATTTTGAACGCAAGCAACCTTATACATGTTAAAACTACGCTTAGCATAACGCATTATATACTTTATTTCAGAATTTTGTATGACAAGAGATTGTTTTGAAATCCTCGAATAATACGGTAAACTCCACTTTAGCGAGATTCGGGAGTCCGCCGAATATTTATTTCGTTATATACGGATATCGTTATATCCGAATACAACCAATTTGATAACAAGAGGCGGGAGAGCATCGTTATACGCGGTATATCGATATAAGCGATATCGTTATAAGTGGAATTTACTGAAGCTCTTATGATGCTTCGATTTAGGAACTGAACTTGAACCTGACCAATCATGATAAAACAAAATAAACCTATCTTGCCTTTATCATTAGTAATGAATTGAATTGATTTTTATTCATATACTGAAATTGTTCACATGGTATAACATTATACTTTTATAAGACAGCAATAATTTTGTAACGCCACTTTTCATTGGATCATCGTGATGATTATATACATGTAGTTTACAATGCACGGCTACTTTCAATTTTCTAAAGAAATCTCACTTTTTTCTCTCTAAATAAAATGATGCTTGCTGGTTTATAAATTCCTTTTAAATATTTCTAAAAAGGATCGGGTTATATTTCAAAACAACCGTTTATATAGGGTCATATAACCTGTCACTTTTTATAACTTATAACATATTGTTATATGTGACATTAAAAATAAACCATGTGTTCTGTTCTGTTATTTTCTGATAATGATACTTTTTTCATTCAGCACTGCAATCAGTCCTTTGAAGATCGTATAAACAAATGAAGAAACGAAACATATTAATTGAATTATACAATCAACTTTTATCTTTGGGGAACAGTTACAAATGTAATAAAACGGGTTAGGGAAGAAATCTACTTCAATAAACTGAAATTCTAAACAAAATATATGGCGTGTAAATGACGCAAAGGCCGTATATTGTTACCAGGGGAAATAAACAAAAAGCGGAAAAAAAGTATCCATTTCTTTCAATAATAGAAACATTATTGAGTAAATGATTGAACAATGCTTGTATCCTCTTAAAATGAGTGTAGATCAATTTCATCGAATCCAAATATATCATGTCCCGACGAAATTCAATGTTTAAGAACGGTTATTTTAAGTTATAAAATGTTTGACGTCATCACATTTTTTTTACAAGACATCGTAAAAACATGTTCGACTGATTTCGTAAGCAAATATAGATTTGAATATGACAAAACGAATACGTTACACAAACACATCTTAATGGGTTAGACGCTTGAAATATTCGTATTTCTAAGTGAAGTTATAAACTATAATGAAATCATGAAGAAATAAATGTGGTGAAAATGACACTTCTAAAATATATACATAAAGAACTTAAAGGCACATCATGCCTCAGAAATAAATATTTTTCCTACTTCTAAAGAAAGGGCAAACATGAAATTTATGATGTTTTAATAATGGATTTAGAGAATGTAAGATGCTTGTTACCAAAAGAAAGTAGCGATAAATGTGAAACAGTTTGTCATTTAAGTAACAAAATGTAAACAAAGTAGTATTTTGACTTTCATACAAAATGCTTATTCACTAAAACTGTAATAATTGCCAAAAAAGCAACAGATGAAAAAGATTGTTCATGAAATTGGCCAATAAGTAACTTTTTGGATACAATCCAAAAATTAAGAATATTTTAAGAAATAAAAATACAAGCATTTTTAAGACATAATGGGCCTTTAAACTTAAAGTTACTAATACAAAAGCGTAATATAAATCCCACTTATCATTCCTCATAAAATAAATAAATAAATAAATAAATAAATATATAAATAAATAAATAAATAAATATATAAATACATAAATGAATAATAAAATAGATAAATAAATAAATAAATACATGTAAATAAATAATGAATGAATGAATGAATGAATAAATAAATGAATAAATAAATAAATGAATGAATAAATAAATAAATAAATAAATAAATAAAATAAATAAATAAATAAATAAATAAATGAATGAATGAATGAATGAATGAATGAATGAATGAATGAATGAATGAATAAATGAATGAATGAATAAATAAATAAATTAATAAAATGAATGAATGAATAAATAAATAAATGAATTGATGAATGAATGAATGAATGAATGAATGAATGAATGAATGAATGAATGAATGAAAAGGAATGAATGCATGAATGAATGAATGGAGTTATTACCAAGATAATTTATAAATAAACTTATTTTACCTTTTGAATTAATATATGTATTCCTCAGGTAAATAATTCCAATAATTTCCACTTCTTGTATTTTTGTTAAAGAAATGTATCAAAAGTCACAGAAAAAAAGATAAAATATATCTCTCAGACTTTCAAAGAAAATGTATTTGAAATTTCATATAAACAATTCAAACATCCTGAGAGATGAGATAAATACAGCCAGACTTATTGTCAGTCGTTCGCTAAATTGAACGATATGAGTCCGTTTTATAACCCGTCAAAATGTATTTTCTTTTACATCAATCGTTTTATCGATTCTTCAGAATACAGTCTCAAAACAATTCTTTAGCCCGTATAGATCTATTACTGTATCACTTTTTCATAGCCAGTGATCCAAAAGTTTAAACGATTTAAACACATCCGAAACAATGTAGGAGCAATTAGTGAGGTATCAATATGTTGCAATAGAAGTCTCGCGAGAGACGAGAATTTCCGATATTTCAAATCCCATAGCGGCGCCATTAGTGATCGTTGTACGTAACGATTAACGTCACTTTAGACACGGATAAAGTAATTAATATATACCGTCAGTTCACAAATTATTGCGGTTGTTTTAATTTAAACGCTGAATAAAACATCAAAAACGCAATGTTTCCGTTTTATGAGAATAAAACAAAAAGAATAAATTCAGAAGAAGTCGCTATATACTCGTATTTGTTGCCAGTTTTTCAAACATTTTAGAGGGAAGATAGACATATTATTTTTTTCAAATAAATATTGTTGAAAATGTGATATGTTTAACAGTTTTACTTAGATCGACTCTATTTGTAACATATATCCCAATGGCGTATTTATTATTGACAATCGTGATAACAAAAGCTCGATATTGTTTATGTCATCAACTTTAAGAATATTATCGTAAATACAAACTTCTTTACAATATTATAACTATCAAAATGGCATGAATACATGTACCTACTAAATAAACTATATCATCTTTAATAATGAAATGTGTTCCTTTACGCAAAACATTACAACATCATATTATAGAAAACAATGCATATCTTCACCTTTAAATAAGATTTGATACGGTCATTCATTTATTTTTAGTTTAAAAGATACATTTTCTGGACGTTATTGAATACTGCACTTTAACAGTGCTGTTTAAAAGGTTTTAAGCTATATCTTCTGATTAGAAATAATTTTTATAACATATATCAAAAGTAATATTATATGGTTCGAATAATCTTATGGACGAATCTCGAAAAACTTGTAACATAAAATGCCTCCGTTATTTAACACCATAATGCATGTACGTAAACAGAATAAAATGATCTGAAACAAAATATTATGTTGTTATTTTAAGAAGGATTTTAACCGGTGAGAAAGATTTTGTTCTTGTACAATTTGTTTTTAATGCTATATACAATCATATTTCCTTTAAGCTTTTCCCGAAACACTTATTTTTTTAATATTCAAGATACATTTTTTTTATCAAATATATATATAATTATAGAGGATTTAAATACGTTTTCTGTAAATACGGGATTTATTTTAATTTGGTGGCATGGAAATAAATATCTAAAAGGTGGCGGTAGCCAAGAGTGAAATATGTTTTTTTTTTGCCACGGGATGAAAATAAATCCAATATTTATAGAAAAAAGTGTTGTAATTATATTTTATCTCTGATTTCGAATGACTACCCATTTAGTGTTGTATTTTAGATGAATTTTCAAGAAAGTAGACCGACAAGACACCAGTGAAAATACGTAAAATATGTTTCATTGCTGCAATGAAAAATATTTTTAATAGTGGAAATACGGTAAACGAATATATGCAATATATTGTGTCATTTAGAAGTATATTATAAATAGCTTTATACAATTAAACACCAAATTTATATCCAACAAGTGCCTACACCACCTTTAAAGACCAACAATAAAAGCAATAACAACAAATATTAATAAATTCAAAACAATTTTCACTTGATAATGCCTCATTTTTGGAAAACTTTTCGCCATGAGGTTCAATATCTCTTATTTATCGAATATACACCCACGCAGGTCGGAATTACTAACTTATTCTGGTTTAATAATTTATATTGAGTTTCAAAACGGTAATTCTTATCTCTTTGCTTAAAAGGAAATAAGCAACGAGGGAATGAATAGTGCTAAACTTTTATCGCGCAACGTAACCTTAAATAGTAGACAGTCATATTTTATTCATCTGACAATTGCTATGTCTAATTTAAAAGTTAAAACCAAGTCACTGTTGTGTCATAAATCCAACGCAGAATATTGATGGAAACTTAGACATGATGATGAGGCATAACGCAATTATATTAGATGTTTCATGAATTCTAAAATACTTTAGCTCCGAATTATTTATGAAATTGTCATGCGATGAAAATAATGAAAAACGAAGGGTTAAACAAGTCATATTGTTTTCTTGCATGTAAGAGAGGATTATCTTGTGTTTACACGGTGCTAAAGAGACCTGTCTTACAACCCCGTGTAACACAAGTCGCGTGTTTTAAATGACTTAATTCCCACGCGCCGATTATGAAAAGTCAAAAGGCTGCAAGCTCTTTGGTATTTTCTGATCTTTGCAATCTAACTTGATCTGTATCTCTGAATGTATTTTCCTGTATAAGTTTATTTTCATATACAATAATTCTTCTTGCAGGGCACCGAGATGCAGCCATTGCGTTTAGATTTTTTACTATAACAGTTTGAGTTTGATACATACGGAATTTTGCATGACTAGAGTGGCATCATGAAACCATTTATGTTCATTTTTTATGACAGCCACACTTTATCCTTGCATATCGTGGCTACTTCCTTAAAAAAAAATTGCCTCGACTGGGATTAGAACCCCAGACCTCTCACACCCTAAACGAGCGCGGGGAAGTTCTAGGAAGAAAGCCTGAATAAAATCTAATAATTCTAAATTAAGAATTTCCATTTAGGGTTTGCAGTCGTTATCAATTTCGAGGTAATTTGTTCACGATAAACCTGTTGATTAACTCTGATGTAAATAATTTAGCGAACATTTTCTCGCCAAAATAGTCCGACATGTACATACTCCACTACTTGACAGTCAGCTTTATTTGTGTAATACGCTCTGAAAGCTTCGGTAATGGTCATCGCTAAAAATATCATTTTGTTTACGTGGATTAAATTATCGGGTACGTGTAGAAATTGATTATCGATCGTCGACTGCCATAAATTCGTCCCTGTCCTAGAGTCACCACAACATCCTTTCGTTATTTTTCAGAAAGTCTAAATACCAAGGGCGTTTTATTCCGATCACAATAATCCGAAGCTTTACGGAAATAGCCGAGCAATTTTCATTGATTAAAATGATATTCATCCGCGTAATTTGTGATTGCGCATTTATTGACAATTCTATAACCCAACGATACATTTAAATTTTAAAAGCGTTGTAATTTGTTGGATACTTGTAACAAAATAAAGTTTTTCTTATTTTACATCGCTAGTTTTAAGTTGTTTTAAGAACTACATGTTGTTAGGTTTGTCGTGAAGCGCTGTGCCTGAGATTGAATGTCAGCATTGTATTTCCTGATTTACAATAAATTGCATTCAAAGGATGACGTCATTTTTGCCGTTATATAATTGCGCTACTATAGGAAAAAAGTGCAAAATATTTTTTTTTGTTTTCGTCATTACACTTTTCAAATTATCATTAATTTGTAATATGCAAGAAAAAGAATCAAATTCTTAGAATACTATGTATAATTTATTGTACTTGAAAATACAGTTATTACATGGAAAGTCAAAATCAAACGCTGCAAATTCTTTTTAGCAAAACGACTTATATTACATAAAAACCTGATTATCTCGTCAAACTTTTTTTATAACTTTGCTTTTCATTTGAAATAAAACATCCTTGGATTAATATTGTTTACATGACTGTTAAGTTACTTAGCGTAGGTAAGACTGAAATACTGTACTCCTTCTGTGTATTTTTAATATTGTGTATTGTGTTCGATGCCTTTATCCGAAGTTTGACGGATATAGTTCGCTTTCATATATATATTCGTATCTTCACTGTTAAAATATCAAAATATAATTTCACTATCTACTGAAAAGTATGTCATAAATGGAAATAATTTACACTGCTTCTCATGTATAAAGTTGCAAATTAGCTTTAATTTATATGCGTGCTGCCTCAAGGCATGTAACAATTATAGCATTAAGATGAGGAAAATTGAGCGTTTATTGATTGAGCTGAATAGAAATTGTCATATAATTTGCTCTTTTACAAATTAGATTAGTAATTGCCGATCATTGAAGACTGGAATAGGTCCTAAATGATTAGGCACGAAATGGTAAGGTGACGAAAGTTTTCACTTATTCGTGTGTCCCTTATCTTAATTTCTTGAAATGATGTTAATATAACACGAAAGTTGTCCGATAAAAATGTTCAGCATAAATCATTTGCCTATCTCACGTGAATGAATGTATCGTTTTTACATTTCAGAATAGTTAGTTTTGACAGTTCACATCTGTATTGCAGCAGAAATGATGATTTGCAACTTTAAACATAGTATTGAACCAATTTTCTACTTGAATGAAACGTTTTCAAGAACATAAACATGTCTTTTTTTTCAAAACGACCTGCAATAGAGCAATGGGTCCATTTTCCGTCGAAGGGTAAAATGTGAATCCTTATATTAAAATGTTTTATACATTCGCCACATAGTTAGTCCCACGGGCGTGAGGGCTGATTGTGGTCTCTACTGGTTGCATGGGTAGAACCGTTACTTTTGCCGCCAGAAATATAAGAAGAGCAGGATGCATTAAACTTCCAATTTGATTGATATAAAGAAGCTTAATCAATGGCGAGAAACACCATTATCTGATAGTATCTCGTAATATATACGAAATACCCGCGAACATAAGCCAACACCATTAAATAACATCATAAACTCTATCTAAATGCAAGCCTCGATACCACCCTATGGAGTTGTTCTCTTAGCCGAATGCAAGCCACGTAACCGCCCTATGGAGAGGTCATTACCTAGCCGAATGCAAGCCTCGTTACCGCCCTATAGACAGGTGCCCTCAGGACGGATATTCCGAATCGCAACAGTTATTAAAATTAACGTAAGCTTACACATTTGCATCTGTTTCCAAGCTCAACGCAGTGCAAAGCTATTCTTTAGTCGGATATTCATTTTTTAAATATGACGAAAAGATATAAATAAATGTTAATGTGTTCATTGCAATGAAATACAAATAGCATCAGTAAATTAAATGCTACCGAGAGGTTTTCTGTATCGTGAATATAGTCTATAAATAGAAAGACATTTGTTTAGTCATTTTTCTTTGGTTATCGACATTTTAAGAGGATATCATATTTGGAAACTATTAAAGTTGCCCGAATAAATTTTCATTCGATCATCCGATTAAAGGCGTTTTAATAACACTAT